ATACATTTGCAAAGAGTGCGAGTAAGAGAAATGAAGTTGAATTGGAAGTTAAGTATAGCAAAAATGAGATAAGGAGTATAAGTAAAATATATTACAAGAAGAAGTGGCAGGAACAATGGGAGGGTGAAAAGAAGGCAAGGTTTTATTATAATATTCAAAAAAAAGTGGGGGAGTGTAGAAAAGAAAATAGGAATAAACATGAGGAAGATATTATATCTAGGTTAAGATTTGGACATGTAGGGTTAAATAGTACTTTGAAAATAATAAATAAACATAGTACGGGGTTATGTAATTTTTGTGGAAAGTTGGAAACAGTTATACATATTTTTATGGAATGTAATAAATATAATCTAGAAAGAGAGGAATTAGTAGAAGAGTTAAATAGGAATAAAGTTAAATTAAATATTAGAGATCTGCTACAAAAATCATCTGGAGATGTGGTTTTTAATTCAGTGTTTAGGTTTCTTAGAAAAACAGGTCTAATAGGGAGATTATAGGGATTAGACATCTGGTTCATACTCCAGTCCAGAAGGTGGCGGTAATGCACCTGAAAGTTGTTTGCCAACCGCCATAAAACAAAAAGAAGAAGAAGAAGAAGAAGTTCTGTGCAGCAGAATGGATCCTGAAGAAAGTCCAGAAAAAGAAATATTTGTTTCGAGACAAAACCTCAGAGATAAGAGGATTCCCAAGAGCCTGAGCCTCCTGACTCAGAGGTTTGTCAGGCTGCTGCAGGAGGCCGAGCACGGGGAGCTGGACCTCGGACACGTACGTTGAACAGTGAACGCAACATGCCCCAAGTTTAAATAGTCTGCGTTGAAGGTCGTTTTTAACTAACTTTGTTCATTTCTTTTTGTCTAAGTTTGCTAACTACTTTTATAATACTTAATTCAACATTAAAGTCTAGATTGTCTGCACATTGTGTGTAAGGCTTTTACATCCTTAGAAACAAGGAAGGATGTTGGCAATTTCCAATAAATAAATAGGATTCCAACTGCAGTCCACACTTTGGGAATCCCCACAAGCTCTTGAATGTACTTTTCGTCACAATTATCTCCATTCTACAGTTGTTCCTGTTGCTAGTACAGCTCTTTCTACCACACTCCTTCCACTCAACTAGTGCATACAGCACTTTGTGATCAGCCAGCTTATTTAGCAATGACCTTTGGGAGCTTAGCTTCCTTGTGGAAGGAGACAATGACTGTTGCACAGCTGTTAAGTCGTGATTGTGTAGGATGTAGCATCATATTTCAGTGTGACATTTCTCTTATTGGGCTCATGTAATATTCAAGATTACCTAAGTTTGTATTTCTATTAGCTGTAAGCCATGATTATCAGTAAAAGCAGGAATAAGTACTTGAAATATGTGACACTTTGTAATAAATATGTTCTTTGGGTTTCAGATGTTAATATGAATTAGTGAAATAGTATCTTTTCAATAGTACTCCATATACCTTTTTGAAATATGCTATTATTCACCCTTTAACCTGTTTTTCTCAATAGGTGAAGTGTAGTAATGGTTATTATATTCAACACATTTGAAAAATATTTTAAAACACAATTCACTAAGTGGAACATTGCATGTATAAATATTTTTAAGAAATTATTTTTCTTTTATTATGATAATTTTCCACTTACAGCTCATGTAAATTTATTTTACATCAGTCCAGTAAAACAACATTTTGATACAGAAATATTGGCTTATTGAAAAGTATGTTAAATACCCATAGAAAGGTTATTTTCAACACATTGGAACTCATAATTTTATTCTTATTGAAAATGACTGAATGTTTGCATCTCTTAATATTTATCCCAGTGGTGACATCTGGGGTGTCTTTAACATAATTTTGTTTGTTTTTAACTTGTACTATACAAAACACATTGTTGAAATTGTAAAGAAATCTGACAAGCTTTTCTTATCAGATTTGTTTTGCTTTTCTTCTTTCTTTGTCCAGGTTCCATATTTAAAGTATTTGTCATAAATGCACGTTGGATTTTTTTTAAAAATTCACATAAAGTCTTCTAGAAGTTTACATCAAATCAAAAAAATATAAAAGAACTGCTGTTCATTAATTATCTTCAGAAAACATTTAAATAGTTATTTTTTGCTAATATAATTAGAAAAATATGTTTGATATCTTTCAGGCATTCAAGGTTCTGGCTGTGAAACACATCAGAAGAATCTACGATATCACAAACGTGCTGGAGGGCATCGGTCTTATTGTCAAAATATCCAAGCGCCATGTGAAATGGGTGTAAGTTTTTACCTCTTGTTGGTTTGCACATTCGGATTGCAGAGCAAAACAGAGTCTGTAGAACAGCTTGACACGTTCTTTTTGATTTACAAGAGGAACGCCTCATGACAGCAGATTCATGAACCTGAACTCTGAGCTGAAGGACTTGAAGTGGAAGGAATCCATACTGGACCAGCAGACAATGTTGGTTGAAGACGTCATCAGGAGCCAAACAGAAGAATGGAAAAAATATCCTTTTAGTAGCAGTTTATACATAAATATGTTGGTTTTCAATGTGTTTCTTAATTTCTTTTGGCACCGCAGTGATCAGATTTAAACTAATCATGTGTGACGCGTTGATGCTGAACTGTATAGCTGATCAATATTTCTTAACTTCGATCAACTCTGACCTATGTGACCAATGAAGATGTGTGCAACTGCTTCAGTGGTGAGGCTGCAATTTTTTTATGGCTGATTTGTTTTAAAGGGGTTAAAGGGTGATTAGTTTTTTACAGTGCATGACAATAACTTGAAGCTATGTATGAGAGAACATCAGACTTTGTTTTAAAACACTTTGCACATTATAATAAAGGATTATATGAAACAAATACACTTGGGGGGGATGCTGCTTTACCCTGTGCTGGTATAGTTACCTGGCCTATATTGCTCTGGTGAAATATTTAAATATTTCACTCTAGTGAGCCCAATCGAATATCACGTTTTATCCAGATTCTCTGCAACAATGGACCCAAGGCCATTAAACTTTTACTGCTTGGAAATAACCAAGCACATCCTGTACGTAGTATGTGTTTGATGTACAACAGTTCAAGGGCGTATCAACTCAGGGTGTCATCTAAAGCTCCCACCAACTAATGCAACATCACATAATGATGGGGATGGACATATAGCATCCGACCAAAACCTGCTCTCACAGGTCGGCACTGAAGAGGCTAACAAGAAAATCAAGGGGAATATTTTTTAGACTGAAGAACATTGTTAAAGCAGCATGAGTCAAGTAAGGTTCAAAACCATTAAAGTTGCATGAGGGTTAAAAAGTCAGCCTCTCTGCAGGGATCCGTCGCTGAAGTGTCCTTCAAGTTTAAGTCAGAGGAAGAGAAAGTTGCTGTGAATCCAGAGGCTTTGGTTTGGCTCAGATTCAACCTGCAAGGCTTCAAAAAATTCAAAGGGAGGGATTAAATAATTAAAAAACTCAGCTGATTTTGACATAAAAGTCCTCAAATGTTTGATAATGTAATTATGAGTTCTGAATAATTGAAGTTTTATTGTTATCTAAACAGAATGAGTTGATGGTTAGCTGATTCGCCAGTTAGCTGAAAGAATATAGCAGCTCAAGGGGCATAAAGAAACTTTCTTTTTTGCTTTAACTTGCATAAAAGTTATCATAATTATCAAATTTCCCTCCAGGTCATATTATTTTGGCAGTGCAAGCACCACCAGGCACCCAGCTAGATGTTCCCATTCCCAAAGCTGTAAGTTCTGCTTCATTAGTAATCCTTATTGCTTCCTCTGTCCTTGATGCCTTTCATTCAGATGAGATAATGGCTGTATCTTCCTCCAGGTCCCAAACTGCCCGGCAAAGTATCAGATCTATCTGAAAAGCATCGGAGGGCCCATAGATGTTGTCCTTCTTAACAAGAGAACTGTCAGCTCTGCTCTTGTCGTACTTCCAGTCCCACCGCCTGAAGAAATTTTGCAGTTTGCCAAGTCAGCAATATCTGAAAATAAAGAAAACAATGATGGACTCTGTGAGGCATCAGCTTTTATCACAAAAAGCACAAAATCTGAATGGGGAGTCGAGCAGGACGTGCAGCAGCTTCAAGAATCCTCTTTTATAAACGCTAACCCCAACAAAACAGATGAGTCTGCATGTGAGTATCAAACGTGTTCATTCACCTTGAGACTTTTCATTTAGTCAGTCCAAACTTAAACATTGCTGTAGTTCATTGGTGTCTCTTGTAGAGGATGAACATAAAGTAGCTCATAGTTTTGAAGTGGAAGGAAATGAAGTTTCATTTGTTCTACAAATAAAAGCATAAACTTTCTGTGAAGTTGTCTGCTCAACAGATTCTCCCATCTGAGCTGTTTATCGCTGCAGCTCCCCCAGAGTTGTCATAAGCTTCTTAACTAATTCTCCCATTAATGCTCTTATCTACAGGCATCTTAGCTGAGGTGAATGGGAATGTCTCGGGTATTCTTGGAGTTGCTACATAGTAGTTTCTGTTTTTAATTATAAATATATATTATATGAATATATATTTCTATATGTGAAATAATCTGTCTGCTGCGTTTTTGTCTAACAAACCTGTGACAGCTTCACAGGCCACCTAAATTTATACTGAGATTTCATTACACACATGTGAACTTCATTTCCTACTTCCCTGACTAATGAAAACAATTATTTGTCCTAGGATTTATTTAAGGCTATCAGCGTGAAGCTGACTGAATTCATGAAAATGCAGATTTTGTTTGTTAAAATATATTGATATCATTTTCCTCCAACTATGGAATTGTGCACCTCTTTAGTAATGTGTAAATGTTTTATTCTTAGGTCAAAACATTTCAAAAGAACTACAGAATCATGTAGTTTCATCCAAAGGTTGGACTTGCTGTTATTGAAGATATTTTGATTAAAGTTTGCCTATTGACTTCATATAAATTTAACATGCCATTTCTCTTTGTTAGAAGTAATGGATGCAGATCTGTTCACCCAGTTCATTCGCTCCAAAGGTGAGTGTCCTGTAGTTTTTGTTTATGTTTGTATTTCTTGCATATTATTTGCATTAATTATGCTTGCTTCTGTCTCAGTGTTCCCTCCAGTCGTCCAGCTGTCTACATCCCCATCTAAGGCGTAAAGGCTCTCTAATCAGGATGAGAGTTACCTGGTTGATATCCCATTGAGCTGTGTTTTGGCATCAATGCCTACATTTCTTCATGAGCAATGTTTCATGATGCATGTTTGGTTTAAATATTTTTTGTCATTAAATAAAGTTTGAATTACATTACAGAAACTGTCTCAATTCAGTTTTAGATGCTTGCACTGACATTGTTTTCTGCAGTGTGAATTACACAGCAGAAGTATCAGATCTGATGGTCTCAACCTTTACATCATCTGTGTTTGTGCTGGTTTAAGTGACAAGCAACATAAACTTTTTAACTCCAAACAGTACAAGCTTTATTCTATTTATTACCAACAAAACTGAAACTGATGGGATTGTCACTCTGCTGGGATTGGTATGTTCATAAATTTAAAATTATTGAGTCAAAAAATGCCATAACTTAATAAATGACTATGTCAAAAATGTGTTAATTATCTACTTTGCTTGGTAATTAAACATAAACAAACAATGCCTCTTAAAATATTAAAATGTGTAACCTCTATCTCACTAGTTATTTCATGTTTGCTACAGTACATCATGAATTTATTTTACTTTGTCAGCATTACTCATCAAAGCCAATGGGGGGGTGCTAACACTACTCTTGTCTACTTGTGCAGTAGATTTAATATCCTGGTTAACCTAACAAATGTTATTCCTGTTTTATTTTTATTTATTTATTTTTTCAATTATTATTTTATGGTAATAACAGACACTATGAAACCCAAACTTATTGAAATGATTCTATATGATTTTACATAAAATGAGCCACCAGTTTTTGGTAAGCATTTAATCTAGCTCAGTAAATTAACACAAATAACTAGGGGTATATGTATTTATCTATTACATGTGTTTATTACCAGTTCGATTTCAAACATGTTAAATATCTAAATTAAAAAAATAACATTTTGGTACATTTGGCACTCTATACATTTTCACAAATTGCCTGTTTGAGAGACAGAAAAATCATGATACAAATTTGGGGCCAACAAAGTGGAGAAGTAGAAACAAAAAGAAAACATAAATTTGGAAGGCAAATAAAGCATTTTTTGTAACTGTATGCAAAACAAATGTAAAGCAAGACTTTTATAACCGCCCTGTTTCCACATGAGCTTTATTCACTACATTGACGAAACATACAAAAGTAAAATTTTCTTATTAGTTTTTTGCGTTAAAAAGCATGTAAGCTAGAAATGTACTTAAATAGTAGTTACTTCCGCATTCACGGCGTTGTTGCTATGGGAACCTTAGTGTAGACCATTGGAGTTGTACCTACTGACCGCTGTTGTTTATCTTAAAAACATAATCCAGAAATCAACTTTCCGTCATCGTTATCGACTCTCAACGAATTATGGTAAAGTGTTTTCAAATATGTTTTTAATTTACGAATTACTTACCGTGAATTAAAATGTTTTAATTTAATTACCGAATGTGGTTTGTAAATTGTTGGCAACAGCTACGGCTTTCTCCGGAAATGCTAGGTGTTAGGCTAATAAGCAAAACAAAAATTATTATGGCGTTTCCGTTTATAGCAGCTCAGGAGCTATAAAAGCTGGATCTTACACTTCTTTTTGTCTAACAGCCGCCCAAAAAGGATGCCAAAAAGAAAAAGGCGGAGGTGAAGCCCCCTACGCTAATAAATGGCCTCACCAAGGAGGAGATAACGAGGGAACAGGTTAGATTATAATTTAAATGTTTTAAAGTATAGGTTTGAACCCCATCTCTCTTTTCAATACCAGTTTAGACAGTCCTCTTTATATCCTTGTTTTGGGTTTACATACTTTTTTCCCACATACAAAATAATGGCAGCGTGTTTGGATTGTTCACAGCGAAATGTTGTCTTTCAGATAGAAGAGCATGTTGTGCGACTTCGTGAGATGCTGGACAGAGAGAGGGAGGAGAGGAACTACTTCCAGCTGGAGAGAGACAAGATTCAGTCCTTTCGGGAAGTTACTGACAGAAAACTTGCGGAGGTTAAGGCTGAACTTAAAATCCTGGAGAAGGCCATAGAAGATGATGAGGCACATCACCTAGTGGGGATTAAGGTAACTTTAATGCTCAAATGCTGCAGCTGCACTATCACAAATAGGGCTGAATTTATATTCATATTTATATTTTTACAAAAGTAAAAAGTCACCTGTATGTACTGTGTGCAATCTTACGTTTGCAAAGAACTGTTTGGAAGTCAATAGTAGTTACTATTTCACATACCATAGGAGACATTCTTCCCTATGATGATCATTTATGATTGAAAACAATTAGCTGGTTGAAAATGATTTTTTTCAGTCTGTAGCTTGAAGAACATAAGAATACTTAATCATCTTTATGAATCTCAGCCACCTAAAAGGCGTCACCACTTCCAGACATCACATAGAAAAGAAAAACATTTAGCCCATATCATTATGGTGTATTTTGAATGAAAAAAACTGGATAAATTTTCCATTTTATATAGCTTCATTTGATATCTTTCCTTCCAGGTCTTTAAGCAGAAGATGAAGCACCTCTTGTGTGAACACCATAACACAGTCACCGAGCTGGAAGCAGATATTGCAACCTCGACCGATCTGCTGGAAGATGAGCAGAGTCAACTGGAGGCAGATCTGTATAAGGAAATGATGGGCATCCTGGTTGAGATGCAGGAGTCCAGCTGTGAAGACGTTTTCAAAGAGCTTCTGCTGGTTCGTCCTGTGCAGAATGACATTAAAACACCTCGACATTTCTGACGCGCGCTTCAGCGTTTTCCTTTTCTCCAAACAGAAACACGAAGAAGAAATGACTGCAGCTAAAGAGAAGTGGGAGACACGTCTGAGAGGTGAGCAGCTAATTTACCACACAGTTCTGCATTTCATGGTGTCTGCAATATAATGAGCTACATCTCTGGTTCCTGTTCAATCAGAAACTGCGGTCAGAAATAAGACAGAGATACAACAGCTGGAGAAGGAACACGACAACATAATGAAAAGTGTGACATGCGAACGAGAGCTGCTCTGGAAAAGCCACTTTGGCAATCTTAACGAAGACATTGACAGATGCTTAAACGACGCAAAAGATCTTATTAGCATGCTGAGCAAAGAAACAGGAAAAGAGATCGCAGCTCTTAAGGTAAGCCCATAAATAAAGTAGCTTGAAAACTGATTTTTGATGCTTCATTCAGGCCAACTGTAGCCAACTTCAATTTTCAAATTCAATTGACTGATTAAAATACATTTTTTGTTGTGATTTAATGTAATTTTGTTATTCAATAACAATTGAATGCAAAAAAATTCAACTTTACACACTCATAAGTATTTTTTTGTCATCATAGGAGTGCAGAGATAGAAAGGACTTGGAGCTGAAGAAGATGAAAGAGGAATTTTATGCTCTTTTGAACGAAAATAAAGAATTTGCAAAGCGTGTTGCAAAAACAGAGAATGAATATAGACGTCTTGAAAGGAGATCAAAATCCTTCTCACAGTCAGAGGTTGTGTTGATGATTCTTTGTGTAACTGGTTGCTGTTATGACTGTTTTTTTTGTAGTTTTTTTTACAGTCTTTATTGCTACAATGTGTTTCACAGGGTAATTTAATAAATCCCCAAAAAGAGATCCTGAAAGACAAGAAGACGGAGTTTGAAGACTTGCAAGAGCAATTCGAGAAGGTAAAAGCTTTTTTTTTCTTTTTTAAGATTTTGATGTCTAGAGTGTAAGAAGCATTCATATGACTGACGTTGTTTTTAACCTTTGTGTAGCTTCAGATTGAGATGGAGGAACTGCAATCGTCTGTTCCTAAGAAAATTAATGTTGCGCAGAAACAAGCAGATCTGTCTCTCAGGCCTCTGGAGGATGAGCTGACGGCTATGAACGTCCATGTGGAGAAGATCCAGGCTCAGCTCCACGCCTTGTTCTCAGCCCCTAACCTGGACCAAACCGCTGTCACTGAAATCACTGACAAAGTCGAGGTAATGTCATAAACGCACACCTTTGGTGGCTACTCTTTTAAGTTCTCTGAGAATGTTTGCAAAAGCATGACAAAAACACATTTGCTTCCAGAAAGAAATGGAGATCAGAAATTCTGCTATCAAGAACCTGAAGCATAAAAAATATCTGATATCAACGGTCAGTCGTGTGTTTACTCGAGGAAATGAGATCCTTGCATTTGATCACGCTGTTGCATGATGGTTTAATTTTGCATCGGTGTCTTACAAACAGATCACGTGAGTTTTTGACTCGTATTCATGGGAGATAAATGTGTGTCTTTCAGGCTCACACTGCCGCGCTGGAGAGGGCGGAGGGCCTCATCGCGATGTAAAGAAGATCTTGAAGAGCCCTTGATTTCCCACACAAGTTGCTAGATTATATCTGGTCAGATCTTAAATGTGTTCATTCTTTTATTCTTGGTTTAATTTCTATTTTTAGTTACTCTTTGACAAAACTAAATATTGATTTGAGGATGGGAATCACCTTATCAGAAGGAATTCAAAGCCAAACATTCAATAATGACCCCCTAAAACAGCTCTGTGACCAAGGCTACCCTGTTGTAGTGTTTTCGGTGAAATAAATAAAAATAAATCTTACTAGGTGTTTACAGTAAGTTGCTTTATAATGAAAAAGGTGTATGTTTATCAGGATTTGGCTTGAGGTAAGGGATTTCAGTAGTTGACTAAAACCAATCAATAATAGCAGCTATGAAGCATAAACTGTTTTTGATGGCATTTAATCTGTGTAATCTAAGGAGGTAAAAGGACTGCAGTCACATAATAGACAAACCTTATTTAATAGTTAGATTTTACTCTCCTAAATGTTTAGCTATGCACAATACAAGCTCCTAAGTAAGTAAGCTGGGCTTATAACCAAATATTATTCATAAAATTAAAGCTTTTTATGTGATTTTAGTGAAATGAAATGGGGTTTTTGCTTTTGGCTCCTGCTACATTTTTGTCTTTACCTAAAGTTTTTGTTCTGTAACTTAACTGACACACATTATACATTATTTACACAAACTAATGATTTTACACTTTTATTTCTGTTAATTGTGACGATTTTCTGTTCACAACATATGTGTGTGTGTGTGTGTGTATATATATATATATATATATATATATATATATGATAAAAAATGATGGACTTAATGAAAAGTACCTGTTTAAATGTTATCATGCTCTAATTTATTGAATATGACTGAGACTTGTCATGGTGCATCTAAAAGGCTGCTCTAAGATAAATGCTAGAAAAGAAGTAATGCAGAATTGTGTGTATGTGTTAAGTTACAGTATAATATTTATTTTATTTAGCCTTTGTAGTACTTCATTTTGCTAAGTAGTTTGTGGGGGTTAATTAGTTTTGTCCTGCTGTGTGCCAGTGACTTTGTAAGAATTTTAGAGCTGATACAATAAAGATGTTTCTGCAGAAGTTAGTTTTTTTTTTAACCCACACCCCATAAATTTGATGTATGTGAGTTTGATCAAATAATGGTACAAAGAAACTCTCTTCAGATTTTGTCGTCTGACAAATCTCTGACCTGCTGTTGCTGTCCTGCATTTATTCGCTACTCATTATAATGGGATCAAGTGTCTTAACCTCATTAAACCGGAAGCAAATTGGAAGAGATCTTCATGTCTGTCTAAAATATGAAAAACAATCTGTGTTGTAATGATTAATTCTAACAAATAATACAAGAATCAACAGCTAACTGTAGAGTTTTTGTGTTTGCCACCTAACAGATTTCTTCTCTTTTTATTTGTTGTCACACTTAAATGTTTCAGATCATCAAACAAATTCAAATATCAGACTCATCCTGGAGGTCAGAAAGAACCCAGAGCAACATCTAATTAATCTCAGCTAAGGTCAGTGGTCATAATTCAACAATAAAAAAGAGACTGGACGTAAATGGCATCCATGGCAGAGCTGCAGGGTGGAAACAAACTGGTGCTGGTTCACATTTACCAAACAGACACCTTTATGATCAACAAGACTTTTACAAAAAGTATTCTGTGAATTTGTTAGATAAAAGTGGAACATTTTGGAAAAGGTGCACAGTATTTCATTTGACTTAAGCATCCAGAAACTGGATATGATATTGAGAGAGAACAATAATCTGATGTTCAAGATACTTTGCTGCTTTGGGGCCCAGAAGAATGATCATAACTGATGGACAAGGGAGTAGCCATTTCTGACCTTAAGCACAACCGAGTCATGTAGCAATACAAAGTAACCAGATTTTTTTTCTAATTCCTTAAAAAAAAAAAAAAAAAGGTTTTGGTGTGGCCTAGTCAAAGTCCTGGCTTAAATCTGATAGAAATGTAGTCAAATGACCTGAAGAATCCAACCTGATTCTAATGTGACTGAATTCTGTACAGAAGAGTGGTGAAAATTCCTCCATGGTGATGAAAAATATTAAAATTAATAATAAATAAATTAATAATAATAATAATAATAATAATAATAATAATAATAATAATAATAATAATAATAATAATAATAATAATAATAATAATAGACCAGATTTGTCTAATTGAGATCAAAATATCTATTTTACAAGAGAGATCTGACCAAGACTGACAGCATACGGAGAGAAAGATACATTAATAAATGTCTTGATAACATTTGTTGTTGCCAAGGGTGGAACAACCAGTTACTAAATTTGGGGAATAATTACTTCTTCATTAATGGTAAGGGCTATCTGGAAAGATTTATTTTCCTTTAATAAATGAAATCAAAATTAGAAAACTGCTATTTGTGTTTATTCAGATTATCTTTGTTCGATTAAAACCTGTAAAATACTCTTTCACGGCACTGTGCAAAAGAAAAAAAAATACACGACAGCTTGTTTGACAGAGAGAATTTCCTGCTTTCTGATATAAAATGCTCGGCTTTCGTGGTTCTGTTCCCCTTCCAGTTATAATCTAGACCAAAGGTTTGCCTCAAACCATGAATTAAAAAAATCTCAACAACAGCAGCATTTTCGCCAGCTGATTTCCCTCCTGCCACGGCCGAGTTTGCAGCAGAGAGAGGAGGAAGGTATGGGGCGGATCCAGTTTCTCATTGACTATTCCCGTGGTGAATCGAGCCCTGCTGCACTGAGTGATTGCCGTTCCCTGTGGCATCAATAATATAGGAGGAAGTTATTGTCCCTACGCAGGCCGCAGTATCACAGAGCTGTAGCAGGCGGAGGGAGGGGGTGGTCCTTTCACCCGGCCCTCTTGGGTTTCAGAGCCCGCAGACAGTGCTTTGACTGCTCTTGTGCCCCTGCACAAGGCCCGATTGTACGTTCGTCCGACTGAGGTATAGAAGAGACTAAAACAGTGACAGGCTGCACAGTCCCGCTGACCCGGCCCCTTCGGTAAGACTACACCCCCAACAAACCCAGTGTCACCAGATGAGTCCCAGCTCAATGGGGGATCAGTCAGCGGGAGACACTGGACGGTTCGAGAACAGGATAGATACCCTGGGTGTGATTAATATGATCCAGATTTTCACCTTGTTTACACACATAGCTGAGAGCTGTGACCTTCCTGTGACATCATCATACATCAGAATGCTGAGAGCTGAAATACAGTGGTTATGTGTGCAAAGCCTTTGCCTGCAAAATGTTTGTTAGGATCGACACAAAACAGTGGAATACATCCCACATTTGAAGCTTAAAATAAACTTAAACCTTGGGAGCTAAGCAAGTCATGCATCTCATACATCCAAAACAGCAGAGTAGTCGTGGTCACTGGTGGGAGGGGTGCCAGAAAGAGAGTGAAAGGTAGAGAAAGTCACAGCAGTAGTGAAATAGAGACCCACTCAGAAGGAGGGCAGCGCACCGTGTAATGGATACAATAAGTTTAAAAAGATGCTGGAAGACACTTAAAGAAAAAAATGCATTATAATCACTGGTAAGTTAAAAATCTTCCCGTATTTGCTTACTTTCTTTACATATTAATAGAAAATAATCGCATGTATTTGAAATTAATTTAGCTTTTATGCTAAACACATGAATAAACTTTAGATATTCAAAGTTTTTGACTCTAATATAGACTGTAGTTTGTCTGGTTTAATCGCACTATGGAGACCTGGAAGCCTGCAGTGTGAGTCGTAAGGTGCAATACAAGCCAGTCATTACGCTTTAATAACTTCTGACTGCTAAAATGTTTATTCTTACTGCTTCATATATAAAAGATAAAACTCAATGAAAGTCAAACAGAGTTTTTGTAAAATCCACAGGGAAGAAAACCCTTAAAAGAAAAATGTGACACCGGTTCTGTGCTGCACGTGCTGGCATGAGATGACGATGGTGAAGAAAGGGTCAGGAATGGCCACTTTTAAATTCACAACCATCATAGTTTGTGCTGTTTTGGTTGGACAGGTGACCCCTGAGAGAACAGGTGAGAAAGATATCATTGTGATTACATGCTGGTAATTTTTTTGGTCTGTGTGTTTTTCAAGGCTAGCTCAAGCTGTCTCCTTTTTTCTTTTTTTTGCTGTTCTAGGAGGTGAAAAAGTGGACCACAGAGATGCTCTCCTGAAGGAGATCGTCTCAAAATGGAGTAAAGAAGCAGGTTTGAGATCCCCACCTGAAACAAACAAGGACCAGTCTTTGCCCTCTTGGGTTAGAAGCATGATGGGGGGTTTAAAAACTCTCTTTCCCAGTAAGAACCTGCCTTCATTAAACAAGCCAATAGACAGACACCGCCTCTCTGGATTCCTGTACAACATTTCTCTGTATCTGCAAGAGATGGGCGCTGAGCTGGAGGACGAACCCGCGGAGCAAGACGAGGATCAGCTCTGGGAGAAGGTGCTGCATTTCTTTCTCCAGTCTGAAGGCAACGCAGCCTTGAACCAGTGGAACGGCCGTGTACCGCCCAGACCCAGCGTCAAAGTGCAGGACTGGTTTTTGTCCCTGAGAGGAAGTCCGCACTGGGACTGGCTGCTGGGGCTCCTGCAGAGTCTCATCACTCTGTCCGAGCGTCAGCCCCACAGACCAATCTTGGCGTTCTTATCTCAGAACTGGAGAACGGTGAGCGCTGTGCTGGAGGCGACACTGCAGGCTGTAATCAGTGGGACTTACGGCCAGGCCAGCGCAGGCCTTCAGGGCTTCATCTGTGCTCTGAAGGGTCGTAGCGATTGCGCCTTCGGTGTTAGCTGGCTTCAGCAGCTGCTGCAGTTCCTGGAAACACGCAACTGGAAGCCGGTGGTCAGTTTACACCCAGCAGGGGAACCTGCTGGATACAGCAAGGGCCCCGGCGCATTTGGACGCTTTAAACCCTTCAGTTTGCCCCCTGAGGCCATGTTGAGGCAGGACGGGTTTTCAGCAAATGCATCTGCTGAAGACATGATGAGCACAGAGGACGAGTTGGACTCGGTGCAGAGCTTCCTGCTGCAGGCTTTGTCTCGTTCAGGCGGCGGGGATCGAGGCGGGCAGCAGGCTCAGAAAAACCTCGCTCTCGTGCAGAGTTTGGACGGACTGAGGCGAGGCCTTCTGCACAGGGTGGGCAGCTCTGTCTACGGCAGCCTGAGGGAGAAAGTGTCACGAGTTACCATGGCGATACTCGACGATGTGAGCAGCGTGGTGGAAGTGCCGCAGCCCAACTTTCAGGGCCGCTGCTCTGTGGGTGAGTATGAGAGATGAGGTTTACGTCACCTACCCAGCTGCCAGACATGTTAGGGATGCAACAAAGCATCCAGAGTCAGTCACAGTATCTAATTATGAAAATGTTTGATGATTTAAAAAAAAAAAAAAAAGCATTTTAGTTCAAAGAGCAAATGCTTCTGTTGTGGATTATTATCATATATTTGGATACTTTGAGAATAACCACAAAAAAGTCACCCTTATAATATAATCATTTTAATTTAGCTAATAATTACAGCAAATTTATTGTGATGAGAATTGTGATTTATCAAGATAAACAAACTTAATTAATTATGTTTAGGAATACCTAAAAAACTGACAGCATGTTTGGGGTTTATAAGGTTTTAGTTAGTCAATTGATCGATTAATAGGGGCATGGATAAATATCAACAGACAGTCATGAGTTGAAAATATGAGTAAATGCAATAATTGTGAGCTGTTTTATTTTAGGGACTGTGAAATGTCACATCCATATTTCAAAAACTCCCCTGCAGAATCCTTTTGTGATTATTGTGATTAATATGATAAAACACTATGATAAACCTTTCAGTTCACGTTGCCATTTCTTTCATTTGATGCTATCTGCATGTTGTTTGGGGCTAATGCTCAAAAAATGACTTAAATTTTTGGGTTTTTCAAACTCTTCAGAGACTTTGACTGAACCTGTGTAGTTTGGTCGGGTGAGATTAAGATCTAGTTTTTTAATAAACCTTCCAGGTGGGTGTGAATGGGAGCCCAAGGATGAATAGTAATGCTGTGGGCCTGTTTCCTATCTTAAGGCTCTAACCCTAACCCATACCCTAACCTTGTTAGGTGGTCTCTGAAATATCAGAAATAAAAATATGGTGGGCTTGGGAAATTGGAAATAGTTTGTAATTTGGTCTTTTCATTGGGTGATATCAACAAAATTGTGACCAAATTAACACAGAAATTGTTCACCAGACATAAATCTAACCCTTGTGATCATCTCAGAGAAAACTTGTAAGACAAACTGAGGAGGGAGGAGGACCGAAGAAGAGACATTCATCTAAGGTTTTTCTGTTTTCCCCGAGATTGTGAAATGTTCTTTCGGCATAAGGTGGTCGGACAAAGTCTGATGAGTTGAACTTTGATGATTGTTTTTAAAAGTATTATTTAATAATGTGGGCACTTTTTATACTATACTAAATAAATGTGCTAAAATTAAAAGTTGTTTTTATCTGAATGTTGAGTTGTGAGATTATGTTTTGGTTTTCTCTACAAATCTTAACCAAGGGTTGCCAGTAAATTGTGCACTGCGCTGAATTAAGCATTTAAATCCTTTTTAAGGGCTTAATGAGTCTGGCTCATGTTTCATGTGACAGTGACTGACACTGCTTTAAAATCTTTATAATCATTCAGTCCAGTGAAAGACTTCTGTTGTTGGCTCAGTTAAGCTCTT